TAAAAAATATTACAGATACAAAACTATTTTTCAACTTTATACTAGAATAGGTAGAAGACTTAACACCCTCCTTTCTATATAAAAAAATTCAGGAATTTAATTAACACTGATAACAAATTACAATTCTTACCTCCAATTGCAAAGGTAGATAAAAATATGTATACACAACAGTAAAAAATTGATGTGCATATCTTGAAACAAGAGCAGGGTAGAAAACTGACAAGTATAAAAGCCAATAGACTTTGTAAAGACAGTGCACAACAGATGGAAAAACAATTTTAACTAGGTGGGAGAACAAATTGTTGGTCACAACAGATGGAAAAACAATTTTAACTAGACAGTGAACAATATAAATACATGAAAAATATGACAACCTATTCTTCTTCTAAATTAGGCAAAATATCATTCATAATCATAAGCCTCTTTTCTTCACCCCTAGCTTCGGCTGCTTCCATCAACACCTGCTGATTGGCATCTACATCTTTTTGATCATCAATGTTGAAGTCCTCATGGCCCAAGACTTGGTCACGATGAATAGGTCTGACCAGTTCATTTTCCTGCATAAATAAAGGAACAGACAAGCAGACATAAAATATGACACATATTTATTTTTCCATGAAAGGAATGTGACATTTTAGTACTTACATCCATCATCATTTCACCGTGAGAGATGACCATATTGTGCAAAACAAATGAGGCTGTGATGTGTTCAACCACATTTCGAGGATTCCTTGCGTGGAGGAACTTGAGTCGTCTCCACTTTCCCTTGGCGAGAGCAAACGAGTTTTCCACACGCACTCTGCACTGTGACAGTTTCCTATTAAAATTGAGTTGCCTTTCATTAAGATGGCCATTGTTTTCAAATGGTTTCATCATCTGGAATAAATGAGCATGGTGTGTTAGAAAGGAATTGGGAAAGATATTCAGGTGCTAAGATAAACAATTGAGTACTTACAAAGTCAGTTAGTGTATATGCTCCATCACCAACTAAATGCTCATCACGGTTGATAACAAGGCCATGTTCGTTGCCAATTAAGTCCTGGTATAGTTGACTCTTCCGAAACACCCTGGCATCGTTCATGCTGCCTGCTTCTCCAACATGGAGCTGGCGCACCTGCAGTTTGTGATCAACAACAGCCTGAACATTGATGCTGTATTTGTGATGTCTGTTCACATACTGCTGAGCATCCTGTAGTGGGGCAGTAATTTCCACATGGGTGCAATCAATGCAGCCTATAATTCCAGGGAAACCAGTCGCTCTCTCAAAAGTACCCTTTATCTCTTCTCTTTCTTCTTCAGAAGGCCATGTGATAAATTTCTCTGCCAATTCCATCAGCGCTTCAATGACATAAGTATAGAAGTAATACAGAGTGCTCGGTCTGACACCAAATTTAAGGGCAACACTGCGGAAACTATCAGGAGTCGCAATCAACCAGATAACCATAAACATTTTGTCAAAGATTGGTGTTCTTTCTCTACGGAGTCTTCCTTTTTCAATAAGGTGTTCCCTTATAGTTGTTGATACAGACTGAAAAAGACAAATTGGTTGAAAATATGCATTTCTCTAATAAGTGATCAATATGCATAAGTAAGATGCAGGAAACCTTACCTCAAATACAGCTCTTGGCATTCTAAAATGTAACTTAAAAACTCTGTCCGACATTCGGTGGTAATCATTTAAATCAACAGTTATGGCTTCCCACGAGGCCTCACCTCCTTCTGCAACAAAAATGCATTGTTTACAGTCAACCTAACCTTTACAAGCTACAAAAATGTCGTGGGCATTGATAACCCCAAAATGACAAGGCGAACTAGATCAAAGAAATGTCAAAGTTGAACGTTTAATACGTACCTAAAAATATACCATCCTCCTCCAGTTCCATTACTTCTATGACTGCAACAAGTGCAACGGCCCGAGCTAGCTCCTCTATTTCTGCATCCTCCTCCTCAGCAAGAACCATGGCAAACTCTGCGATCTCACCAACTAAAGCCACATTATTAGCTGCCATAGTTAAACGCTTTAGAACCAAGAACAATCCTGTACCACTCCAGAATCTCCAGAAACAACATAGAATAACACTAGGGCTACTGAAAAATCACTGCTGGCTGAATGGCTGATGCTTGAGATCGGATCGGATCGGGTCGAGTTAGAGTTCGAGTTGTCGAGTCCATCCGGAGATCCAGAGCTCGGCTCGGAGCCTCGGAGCGGTCGGACCGAGCCCGAGCTATGACTTCGGTCGCCCGCCAGACGGCGGTGACGGCGGTTACCCCCTCCTCTGCCGCAGTCTCCCCCGCTACTCCCCCGCCTCGCCCCCGCCTCGCCCCCACCCGTCCCCAGGCGTGAGCGCACGCTCACGCTACGCGAGCGTGGAATCGGCAAATTCTTAACTGGATATAACAAAATTGATTCCTTTCAAAGACTACTTACAATGGCATCAGTACCAACTAATTAGATCTTGCAGGCGCACAACTCAGTTCCAAGTTTTAACCGCACCTTGAAGGTGCAAAGTAGGGGCACCAAAAAGCTGCTGGCTAGAAGATGCATGAGATGACCCGCGAAAAGAATCTCAAAGCTCTGAGACAAGTCTCTGATCCGCTGGTGACACTTGATGAGATCCTTCACCTCACGCTTGGAAGCAGCCAGTCCAAGTTGCAGATCGAGGGCACGAATCAGTGCACTCAATGTGATGAGGACAGAACAAATCAACGTCCACCTAATCAAATACAACTTGCTATATGTACGCCAGACCACCTCTCGCGTAACAGGGTTCACGATATCTCACGAAACAATGTCACGCCGCGACGCTCTGGCGCACATATAGCTAGGCCTGCAGCACTGACACCAGAGACAAGTTAACAGGAGTGTATAAGGAAATAGGGCCTTTCGGCCCCGAAATTTGACATGCTGAAAGCCTTTCTCTTGGCCAGCATTGGTCTACGAGGCCATAAAACAGGGTGTGTACATTGGAGCAGTGTGTAACATGAACGTTAGGGTGTATCGAAAACAGGGTTTTCTTCCGCGCGGATTCGGCGGGGTGCGGAAAAGTGGACATTTGGGTCGTTGAACACAATGCAAAAAATCGCAACTCGATCGGACAATATTTACTAATCCCTGCAACGCAAGTAAAATTTTGGAAATTATATTATGTGGGCTGTGGGGGAAGGCTGTCTGTCCGTTCCGTCGTCCCAAGCCCGGTGGCAGTCCCCTGTCATCACCCTGCTATATGTAAATCAAAGGCAAGCAAGCAGGCCCGCCCTTCCGGCATGGGCCAAGCTCGCCCCGGCCCCTGCCAAACAGAGTTTCCTGCGGAGCGAAGTTAAGCTGGCAACTTCGTTCAGTGGTGGGGCGGGTCTATCTTGTTTTCGATCCATTTCTCTTAGGACCTCGTGTCTGTTTGTCTGTCTGCAACTACTAGAAGAAGACGTGCTATGGACTTGAAGTTTTTAGGGTATCTTAAGGTTCACCCTTAGAGAACGAAACGCGGCAAATTCTGGCAACCACCCAAAATAGTGTGAATGGGGGTATCCAGTGATCATAGGTACGCTCTAAAAGTTTATTGCTATGACTTCCAAAAGTTAACTTTTCAAAATAGCGTCCTCGGACCAACATTTCGTCCGCTTGGCTGTATCTCTTTCCGTTTGGGCGGTAGGGGGTATTTCTAGACGATCCAGTCTATACCAGCAGGTTTGGCGCGCGGGGGAGCGGTGCGTCATGCTGTTCGTCCCAACTTCCCCCCCACCCGCCAACAATCACTACTGTGCGCTAGGCCATGCCCCATCCAGGCGCTCCCAGCCCCACAAACAATATACACTCAGCACTCCTCCAAGCCTGGCCTGAAGGTGGCCCAGGCCAGGGCGCAGGGCCGCCGAGGCCTCGACTCCAACGACCATCACCTCTGGTTGCTCGGTCTAGCGCTCGTCCAAAGCGAGGGCGATCACTACGTCGCCGCTTACTCGCCCAAACTGCCTGGTCTCGCAAGGGATTTCATAAGAAGTGTTAGTCCTCGATTTTGTTCCGCCTTGGGGGTTTTGTGTAGGGGTCAGTGTCAGCAGAGACGGACGACAACAACGCACAAGGCCGTGAATTTCAGAACAAAGAGTCGTAACTACAATTGTAGAGGGCAATAACGTATTTAATTAGTAGCAGTAGTTTTGTATTAGATTTTCTTTTATTCGGATTGTCTATTTGTTAACACGGCATGTTAACGTTTTTTGTTGGAAATAATCCAAAAACTGATCTGGAAGTCGTAGAGGGAGGTCTCGAATCCCATATAGTCCAGGAAAGATAGCTTTTAACCTAGACATAAGTGCGGGCAGCAATGTTTTATATGCGTTCGATTCGTCTCGCCGAGTAGTATAAGTGGCCAATTTTCCCCGTTCGTACACGCTCCGCTTCGCTTCGCCGGCAACTCCGTTCGGCAGGGGCCGGGCCTGCTTGGCCTGCCGGCGGCGATGGTCTACGCAGGGCAAAGCTGTTTATTTTCTTCATATATTGAGTCGTACGTGTATTGAGTAAGGGAGAGCGGGGTACCATGAACATGAGGCACGATGAGCATTTTGAATTTACGCTCCAAGGATGTCACCGCCCGCAACCAACCTGTAAGACGTTGATAGAGGGTGTGCCAGCGGATGTTTTTATCGAGACCGCGAAGTTGCACGGCGCGTAAGACGAGAAAGGGACAGGATCATAAATTTAAAGAGAGCAATTTAGGCAAATGCAAGCATAAAATTATTCGGGATATTTTTTTTTTAGAGCCGAATGCTGAGTCCGACAGTACAAGCGACGTTCTCCCTGCCTTCTGTAACCTTTTTACTATGAAATACGACTGGACGCGATTTTTTAGAACACATGAGGTTAACTCAGGTCTCTCTAGACCAAAAAGTTGTCTTTTGGGGCACGATGAGCAGTTTTCTTCGGGGTACCATGATCATGCAAACCTCAAAACTTTTTAAGTTTAAATCGATATCTGGTTAGTGATTTTGATTCGGCTCGTCGAAAGGAAACGAAAGTGTATTATTCGCCGAGACAATCGGAGACAAAATACCAGAGTTATTGACGTTCAAAGTGACACTAAGTCATTTCTGGCACTTTTTGTCGGCACGGGGAACTTTACAAGTTCTCTACAATTTTAGAGGGTGCAACCTCGATTACTATTCTTTTATGAGGTGCACTGGAAACGCAAGTGTGTGGATGTCGCACAGTTCTAGGCGTGTAAACATCAATTTGTACACTTGGTAAACGTTTAAATTTTCTAGGAAAAATCTACAACTTAACCTCCCTTAGTGTTCAAATGGATGTTCACACTAAGGGGGGGAGCGTAGGCGCACTTTTATCGAAATCGATGTCAGCTCGGTTGGCAAAGTGTTCTACACGGTGTTTTTTAGCCCGCCCTTCTGCTTTGAAAAAGCTATCCAGCGGGCTTATGCAAACGACCTCGTGTGTGTCTGTCTGTTCCACTATAAGAAAATGTGCTAGATACTTGAAATTTTCAGGGTATCTTAAGGTTCACTCCTAGAGAACGAAACGCCTACGGCATATCCTGGCAACCACCCCTAAGGATGTGAATGGGGGTATCCAAGGTTCAAAAATTCTCCCAAAACGTTTTTTTTTTATTTTTGTTCTCCTAAGGAGTAACTCGTCAAAGTAGAGCCCTTTAGACGAAAATTTCGTCCGTTTTGCTCTATCTCTAACCGATAAGGCGCTAGAGGGTCTTTTACGACGAAAATAAGCTAAAAATTGCCATAGTGAACAATAATTTGTAGAACAAGCAGGCCCGCCCTTCCGCCAAACGAAGTTGCCAGCTCCGCTTCGCTCCGCCGGCAACTCTGTTCGGCAAGGGCCGGGCCAGCTTGGCCTGCCGGCGGCGATGGTCAGGCCTGCTGCGGCCCGTCCATTTCTGTCACGCGATTTGCTGAAGAACATGATCGAATGATGTAGCGGGCCTTTGGCCCGCTAAAACCCGTCGTCTTTGAGTTTGCCCCAAAGACTCGAGAAAGGGATGTAACGGTGAAGCACCGCGAGTACAACGCACCCTTCTGCTTTGAAAACGTTTTTGGGGGTGGGGGAGAGTTTCCTTTCTATTTTGCGGTTTTTAGGCCTTTTTAGCCCGCCCTTCTGCTTTGAAAAAGCTTAGAAGAAGGCCTTAAAACCGCTAAATAGAAAGAAAACCCTCCCCCCACCCCCAAAAAACGTTTTCTACGCAGAAGGGTAGGTTCTAGTTGCGGTGCTTCACCGTTACATCCCTTTCTCGAGTCTTTGGGGCAAACTCAAAGACGACGGGTTTAAGCGGGCCGAAGGTCTACTTCATCATTTGATCGTGTTCTTCAGCAAATCGCGTAAATGAAATGGACGGATCGCCGCCGGCAGGCCAAGCAGGCCCGGCCCCTGCCGAACGGAGTTGCCCGCGGAGCGAAGTGGAGCTGGCAACTTCGTTTGGCGGAAGGGCGGGCGTGCTTTTTTTTTGTTTCAGATATTTGATGGTCTCTGGTGGGGTAACTCGTAAAAATAAAACCCCGAAGAACAAATTTTGTGTTGTTTTGGGCCGAATGCCTACTTACGACCCTGCCTTTAGACCGACTCGGGTGTCAGCGCCGCAGGCCTTGGTAGAGGTATGCCAGGCGCGTTGCATCGTAACAGTGTTTTGTGAGATATTGCGAAGCCTGTTACGCGAGACGTGGTCGTGCGTACATCTACCTAGTCAAAAAAAACTTTGTCTGCACGTCTGTTTGTGTGTGTCCGCACGATAACTCGAGAACGAATAGGGTGCTCCAGGCAGTCTAACAAAAAATCAGAAACCACAGGCTTCAAAATATTATTTTATTCAATATTAGTTGAGTGGGCTCCTACGTAGGATTCCACGGGC